TCCGTTTCCTTATCTGTAAAGTGAAGACAAAATCTATCTCCTGAGACTGTGGAGAGTATGAAGTGCATAGTACATGCTTAATCACTATCCCTGACTCTGCTCCTTATTCTTGGTTGGCAAAGAGGAATGCGTCAGGGTGGAAAAGCACATGCGAGGTGCTGCATCTGGGGGTCCTCCTCATTATCTTCTTACCCTACAAAAACACTCTAGGAGAGGCCCTATGTATCCTCATTTCCAAGAGGAGGTGAAAGAGATTTGGGAAGGTCATGTAGCTTGCTCAAGGTCACGGAGCTGGTCTTTAGCAGAGGAGGAAGAATTGAAACAAGGGCCATGAATGTTCCACTATACATAGCAGCTTTCTAGGCAACTGAAAAGGTATCAGTGGAAGGAAGCCACACAAGACAGGTTGAGAGCTGGCAACCAGCAGCCAGTGCCTAGAACAGTGTACTGATTTGCCTGATGTATTTTATGGAATTCTTCCAGGTAAAGGTGATGCTTTGCCATTTTCACAGACCTACTTTCCATTCTGGTTACTCACCTGAGAAACAAATGAAGCTAAAACAATTCACATTCTTGCCACCCTTTCAACACCTATAAGATAGAAAGTTTGGACTACATGCTCTCTGTAGTCATTCCCAGCTCTAAAATGCACGTGGGAGAAATTACAAGGCTTGGAACAAGGACACCACATCACCACCCTCAGAGGCAGCTCCCAACTGCGAAGCCTCTCACAGTAGAAATCCTCTCACTCACCAAGATGTTTAACCAGAGAATCCTAAAATAGAATATAAATGCTCTTAAGTTATTTATTTTAATTCAAAAATGTAAATGAGCCTTCACTCCATTTCGTTGACATATGCCTTTCTTCAAGACCAGGTCACGTGGAGAAAGAGCAGCAATGAATTATGAAGACAATTAACTATCTCCAAAATGCATCATCTCCGTTTCCAGTGTGAAGTTCCTTAAAATGGAAAAAAAAACTTAAAATGGTTGCAAATAAATCCAAATGCAGAATCTCTCTGGGTTTTTGTGTTTTTCCCCAATCTTTTGCTGTTGTTTCTCTCACACTTAATTTGACAGCAAACTTTTAGTGACTCACCTCTATGGAGTCTTTTTAAAGTATTCAACATAGTTTCCCTAGAAACAAGAATGCTATTCCTTTTCACATTCACATTTCAGCAGTTTAACTAAACTGTAAGTCAGATTTTGTCATTCTAGACAAGCTCCCCTGATGACTCACCCACTTACTGAAATGACAGGTGCTCTGCCCACCTCTCTAACTTCATCTCCTGCCATCCTCCCTCTTGGCCATGTGCTCCAGTCACTCTGACCTCCACACACTTCTCAAATGGACAAGCATACTGCATATTTGCTGTTCTCCCATTCCCTGGAATTCTCTTCCCTTGGGTAGCTAAGGAGCTAGCTCTTATTATCAGGTCTTTGTTCAAATGTCACCTTCTTAGCAAGGGCTTTCCTATCACCCTATTTCAAGTAGCCATCTTTGCCCCCATTCAGCCTTTTCTACCCTATATTGTTTTTCTCCATAGCACTTATCTGGCATAGTATATATTTTACTCATTAGAATTTGAGCTTCATGAGGACAAAGATTTTGTTTGTTTGTTCACTGATGCATTCTTTTTTTATATATATAATTTTTATTTATTTATTTATTTTTAATATATTTTTCATTGATTTTTTACAGAGAGGAAGGGAGAGAGACAGAGAATCAGAAACATCAATGAGAGAGAAACATCGATCAGCTGCCTCCTGCACATCCCCCACTGGGGACGTGCCCGCAACCAAGGTACATGCCCTTGACCGGAATCAAACCTGGGACCCCTCAGTCCACAGGCCAACGCCCCATCCACTGAGCCAAACCGGTTTTGGCCTGATGCATTCTTAATGCCTAGAATAGCAGGTAGAGTTGTTACTCAATAAAAGTGTTTAATAATAATCTTCAATACACTAACAAAAATGAGAATAATTTACAGGGAGTCAACAGTAGAGTAGATAAAGCCAAGAATCAAATCAGTGAGTTAGAATATAAGGAAGCAAAAAATACCCAATCAGAACAGGAAAAAAAAATGAGGGTAGTGTAAAGAGCCTCTAGGACAGTGATGGCAAACCTATGACACATGTGTCAGAGGTGACACGTGAACTCATTTTTTTGGTTGATTTTTCTTTGTCAAATGGCATTTAAATATGTAAAATAAATATCAAAAATATAAATCTTTGTTTTACTATGGTTGCAAATATAAAAAAATTTCTATATGTGACATGGCACCAAAGTTAGAGTTTTCAAAATGCTGACACGCCGAGCTCAAAAGGTTCGCCATCACTTACCTAGGACAACTTCAAGAGTGCCAACATTTGCATCATGGGGGTGCCAGAAGAAGAGAAAGAGCAAGAAATTGAAAGCCCATTTGAAAAAAAAAATAATGACAAAAACTTTCTTAATTTGGTGACAAGTCCAGGAGGCACAGAGAGTCCCAAATAAGGTAAGTGCAAAGAGATCCACACCAAGGCACATCATAATTAAAATGCCAAAGGTTAAAGACAAAGAGAGAATCTTAAAAGCAGCAAGAGAAAAGCAGTTAGTTAGCAATAAGGGAGTTCCCATAAGACTGCCAGCTGATTTCTCAACAGAAACTTTGCAAACCAGAGGGAGTGGCAAAAAATATGTGATGAAAAGCAAGGACCTACAACCAAGATTACTTTACCCAACAAAGCTATCATTTAGAATCAAAGGACAGAAAAAGAGCTTCCCAGGTAAGAAAAAGCTAAAGGCATTCACCACCATCAAACCAGTGTTATATGAAATGCTAAAGGGTATTCTTTAAGAAGAAGAAAAAGATAAAAAATGTCAACAATAAAATGGCCGTAAATACAAATCTAGCAACAACTGAATCTAAAAAACAAAATAAACCAACAAGCAGAACAGAAGCAGACTCACAGGTATAGAGAACATTTTGAAAGTTGTCAGATGGAAGTGGGATTGAGAGAATGGATGAAAAATGTGAAGGGATCAAGAAGTACAAATGGGTTGTTACAGAACAGTCATGGGGATGCGAAGTACAGCATAGGGAATACAGTCAATAATATTCTAATAACTACATATGGTGACAGATGGGTGCAAGATTTATCAGGATGATCACTTAGTAAGTTATGTAATGTCTAATTACTGGAGTTTACACCTGAAATTAATCTAATATGGTATATCAACTATAATTAAAAAATTAAAAATGATTAAAAAATAACTTTTGTGATTGCAGTAAGTGTATTGCCTTTCTGACTGAATTGCATAACTACAATAATAAGTACATCAGGCTTGAGGAGGTTTAGGAACATACATAGCAGAGTCTTGGTAAACCAAGAAGCCAACTGGAAGGGTCAAGATTGTGCTGATGCACTAGAGCACAGACTACTAGACCTGGGCAGCCATGAACCTTGGGATCAGCCAGAGCATAAAACAGAGGGGAGCAAGATCATCTGTTAAATACAAATGGACTAGACAGCCTCTACTTTAACTTGATCAAATTGACCTCTCCAAGTACTTGACGCTTTCATATTCAAATGCACAGTAACGCACAACAACGTCAAATATACAAGACAGTCTGGCCACTTTTCTTCAGATAAAAGCAGAATGACAGAAAAAAGATGGGTTGTTTTTAATAGTCAATTACCTTTAGCAAATTTCTTAATCTTTCATCCTTGGTTCATTATTAAAAAGGGGGAAGGTGTAATCTAATGCATGGCTTGCTTATTTCATTGGTCTATTGTAAGTATCAGGTGGATCAATAGCTATGAAAATATATTGAAAAATTATGACACACTCTATAAAATAAGCAATTTTCTTTGTATTAACATGGATAACTGACTTGTCTATAATAGCTACTATAGCTCCCCAAAACTGATGATGTGCTTTAAAGCACATTGATTTTAAAATGAGTCCTAAAATGTATTAAAGAACAAACAGAAGGAAAAGTAGGTTTTTAAGGGTATGAAATGAGAAAGACAGGAAAATGGCTTTCTCCTGATTCTTTAATACAGAAATATAAGGAAGAAAAAAAAACCATAAATCTCCAGTTACTATATTACATAAAGCTCAGATTCAAGAATATTACTGTAAACACCCATAATTATCTAGACTCCTAGATATTTCAGAAATTTCTCATCTATTTCAACACCACAAGGATAATCCAAGATGACTTATTAATATCACACATGTCAACAGCAAGTTGTGATGGAAATGAGCAAACCCGTTCCAACCATTTCAGTTCTGTTTTTATTACAGCATTTATTAAACCAGAATAAAAAAGTGGTGAAGAATGACTTGTCACACCATTTATTAGAGTTGATGGAGCATAGACAGTTTTTTCAATAAGACTTTAACACACTGTTATGCACCATAGTACATTATTAATGAAAAGAAATGCATGAGACTTGCCTCAGCTTTTCCCCCAAGTCATCCTGACTTTAAATTCAAAATCAATTCTACTCTACATGGCAAAGTTTCAGCAATAAAATGTTAATTTGTTGTTTGTTGTTTACCAAATCTTACATTTATAATTCAAAGCAACAGTCAAGGATCCTCCACATTGCACTCAATTTAATAATCATACCTTTCTTTGGAGGGGGTTCAAGAGAAGAGGCAAATGCAACAGGAAGATAAACAAATTGTGCCCTAGTGCATATCTGACAAGAGAACGGGATCTAATTTTCTCTCTGATTGAAAAAACACAAACGACAGCCACGGAATGCAAATCGTGCAGCGTGTGTGTACTTCTCCTCCAATACCCAAGTATCTGAATGGAACTAACTCACTCTGAAAAAGGTATTAGGTAATTGAGTATGATGGTGCCAGGATGAGGGATAATCCTCAAACTGAGAAGGAAAATAAACATATTTCAGATTGACAGGGTCACCTCACTCACTCAATAACCTCAGTCAAGCATTTTACATTCAAAAGAAATAAACCAAAAATATTAAGAATGACCTACCGCCAACAAGGAACCCTGATAGACACAAGCACCTGTGGAGAAAAACAAAATAAGAATTAAAAGGGATGCATAGCAAGCCAACTGGCACTGCCCGGGCAGACTTACGGGAATATTGCATCTATATGCATCATAATCAGCAAACTGCACTTCCCAAAATCTTAAAAACTTGAGCATCCTGCCCCTGGGGGAATAACCTCATACACCAAAATAAGATTTCTTGTATATACATGAGAAAAAGCATCATTAATATTTAGTATTTGAGTTTTAAAATAAATGCATTTATAATGACATGCTATAATTGCAGTGTCTATTTTCATTTGTGACAAATCAGCAAAGCCTCCATAATCCAGCCCCAATTGACTTATCCAGGCTTCTCTGCCACTCTTTGCTAACACAAGTTCTCCAGTCCAACTCAGGAGGCCAACTTAGGACCCTGTGATAAAGCTTTCATATTTCAACGCCTTTACTCATCTGTGTTACCTGCAGGAGATGCATTTGGTCTACTCAAGCTCAATGAGCGTGATCCCGTCTCCTTCATGAAGCTTTCCAGTCCATAGGATTATGCCCTTTCTCCTTTGAGCTCATAGCACTTTGTGCCTACATCAACTGTTTGTAAATTCATTCTTGTGTACTTCCTTGTGACAGCCTTGCTAAGGGTGTGGAAGTGTTGTATCTACCCCCACAGATCTGCTTCTGTTAGAAAAGAAGACTGAATTTTATTGGGACAGCCTATATATTCTAAATAACTAGTGTATCATAAAATAAATCTTTGCTAAGTTTTATATTTGAAAGCAATGTGAAATTACAACATTAATTAACAAAAACATACACACATTCCCAACCAATTTTTGATCAGCACAATAGGTGTTGATTTAACCTAGAAACATGTGAGTAGTGTGCTAACAGCTATTCTCTCAGAAACTGAGGCTGCAAAGAGATTGCACTAGCAGAAGATCAGCTTGACACCATGCCACACTTGGTGTCCAAAAAGGAAAGGAAACATTTTAATTTTACTACAGTGTTTGGCCTCCAACAGATCATTCAAAAATATTAACCAGGAAAGGACTGGTCTATCTTACCCACTAATAATGGAATTAAGAACAATCTTTTTTAAAAAAATGAGATGGCTATTTACACTTAGCGTTTGAATCAAAGATCTCTGTGGAAAAGGAAAAAAACAAAACAACAACAACAACAAAAAGAGCTCTGTGGGTAAATTTACTGAAATAACTTTTGTGCCCTTGACATTCAAATAAGAATAACTCGAGATAAAAAAAAAACCTTGAGTCCAAATTACTTATTTTTCTTTAAGAAACCCTGTTCCTAAGACTTAGTATTTCAGTCTATGGTATGTCATTTAAAAGGACATATATTCATGTATAACATATATGTATACACAGAGTGGGGCAAAAGTAGGCTTGCAGTTGTTTGTATGAAAATAATACAATAATCAATAAGTAATAATACAAGAACAAACTCTGGTTCGCATACTCACAACTGTAAATCTACTTTTGCCCCACCCGATATATAAAATAATCATATATAACTCAAATAAATATATATCAAGACAATTCCATTTCTAAATTAAATGGATATATTTAATTACTTCTGATGTTTAAAAATAAACATAAAGATCCTCACTTAGGCACAATTTAAGAAAATTTAACCTTTAGAATAAACAACAAAATTTAACCATTAGAATGAGACTATCAAATAATTTCATTGCCCTCGTCCATAACATTACTTTACAAAAGCCAATATCTTTTCAAAGCTCCAAAAGAAATCAAGTATCTGAAGAAGTATCCAAGTACCCACATTGAAGTCCAATTCTGGAAGTTTTAGGTGGCTGCTATAAACTCACTCTAACTTAAAAAAGTAAAGCAGCATTGAGTGGGTGCCACCACATACACATTTGGTTAAGCCAAACACCTGCTAGAGACTCAAGTCAAAAATGGTGTGTACGTGCTGGTAAATTCCATCACCAGGAAAGGGAAATAACTCAGTGCGGGTCGCTCCATGATGTACAATTCCCAAAGAATAGGCTTTGCCCTCTGAGGGCTTTTCCTAAACCAGAAGAGCTTTACCCGGAAGGCAGCTGCACAAATGAGTCTCCATTAACACAGCTCCCAAAACCTCATTTCTACTCTCCAGAGAAAATAAAGCATTCCAGTGATGCCCAGTCCTATCAAACATTTATCACCACCCATGGCCAGATGCAGTCCTCCAAGCAAGCATATTTCTCCCACACTAGCACACGCTTCACACCCAGCGGCAGATGCAGTTGGGAGGCTTGCCGGCGTTGGCTGCTGGGGGCAGCGTCGGGTTCTGACCTAGCGCACAGGCCTTTCCCATCATCGATCAACTCGTATAATATGGAAAACAAAATTACTCACTCCACTCATCACTTCTTTCTTAAGGAGTACTGGAAAGACTGCAGCTCTATCTGAGGTTTACAGTTATGACTTTATTTGAACTTGAAAGGAAACTCCTCAAGGTGACTTCTGACAGATAGTGTTCTAGAAGGAGAAACAGACCTTCTTCAAGGGAAAACAAGAAAAATCAGACAGCAGGAGCTGGAGTCCTCTGACCAAGGACTTTGCCAGTTTCAGGGCATCAAATACAGCTGAGATGCTAGCTGATTTAACTTCTAACGCCCTGTGAGAAAGTGCATCAAGTTTTGCTGGGTGAAGTGATCAGATGCACCAAGAAGGCAGCTGAGCTCCTGGGGCCTTCCTCCCAGGTGGTTGGCTCCTTTCTTGCAAGTTACATAGGCAAAATGTTACTTCATATCATTTAAATAAGTAAATGCCTGCCCTTTTGCACATTATAATGTACTCCTATATAGAATCTAAAGTGTACAGATAAAATCTGAGGTATAATTTGCACCAGTATTATTCACTATAGAAACTGAACCTGGTAAACTGAGTAAATTAGAGAAGTCAAATCCAAACACACGTCAGACCCATTAGTTCAAAGATCAGATATGACCATAAGATATGAAGAGATTGGGGGAGCATGGTATCACAAAAAATATGACTCCTTAGGATCAAGCAGCCACAAGTTGTCATTGAAATGTTCGAGCTTTATGCTGTGTACAATCCACATATGGCTTGTACACTGTGGAAGAGTGAAAGCAGATCCATTTTCTGTACTGACAGAACTATCCACATCCTGTTTCTTTAGATCAATTAATAAAGTAGTTAAAATGAAAATGGGCCAACTGTTCTTGAAATATTCGAAGATGTGGAACAGGGCTCTAACTTTGCCAGTGCAAGTCCCCTCCCCTCTCCTGGGAGCTTCACGATTACTTGTGCCTGAGCAACACTGAGTTATACTGCCACTCAAGTCCACAACAGGGAATGCAGATGGCTGAACCCTCACTAAGTAAGGTACATGAGGTGCGTAACACCCAGAATCCAATCCCCAGAGAGAAAATGTCATATGATGCAATCAAGACCCTATGACAATTCAACACCTCTCTGTTTCCACTAGCAGGTGGCTGCCAAAGCCACAAGATGCAAAGTTGCAATTATTCAATATTGGGAAACCCACCAAGGACCAATGTTCACATACCCCTACTGCTACTTTATGGATTGATGATTTCTGGATATTTAAATTCCTAAGGGCAGGTTTATTATTTTATGTTTGTATCCCCCTCACAGAAATAACCTCACACATAAGCTCTCAATAAAGATTTGTAGAATAAAAAAACAAATGAAGAGAGGCTATTTTCCCCAGCCAATGTCTTCTCTTCCTTAGTATTGAGTTTTAAGCATTGAATCTTACACAGAAGAAACTCTCCAGCCAAGAGTAGAAGCAAACATGCTGGTATACCCTTGGATAAAACACACTATCAACTGATCCTTCTCACTACATTCTGTTAATGACAGTTAAGGGAAAAGCCTGGAAGATTGTGGGATTGATGGAAGTCACATGGGGCGTGATGGGACACAGGCTAGAATTCAGTTCTCTTAACTGCCAATTAAGGAGTCTTTTCCTATCCCCAAACCAACATGTTCTATCGTGTAAGTTCACAGGACTTCCCCATCAATACCACTTAAGATGCACTTCTCCAGAAAATTCCATGGCAGAGCTTGTCAGATTCAAAAAGCAGCCATGTTTGCTAGAAGTGTCTCTGTAACATCTTAATTTTATATAGTTCTCAAACTATAGAAGTTTGTCAGATGGCAATATAAGACTGTAAATTATCTGTGCCAATAATTCATTTTTCTCTTAATAATTAAAATAAAATTCAGATTGAGAAAGTTACAACTGACCACGGAATAGGACAGCAAATACTGATTTTTCCCCCTATGCTGGATGATTAGCAAAAGTATTTTAGAACTATCACTTGTCCAACTCTGCATTTGGTAAATGACGTAACCACAACCTAAAGAAGTTAAGTGATTCATTCAAAGTCATAGGGCAGCTTATCAGGGAAGCCAGTCCATCTTAGTTCAAAAGAATGTGATTTGGCAATACTTGTTCATGTAACCAATATTTTTAAGCACCTACTGTATAGTAAGAGCTGAGTTGGAGATATAAGAATAACTAGGGCCCTGGCCGGCTTGGCTCAGTGGATAGAGCGTCAGCCTACGGACTGAAGGGTCCCAGGTTCGATTCCAGCCAAGGGCACATGCCTGGTTTGCGGGCTCGATCCCCAGTAGGGGGTGTGCAGGAGACAGTCAATCAATGATTCTTTCTCATCAATAATGTTTCTATCTCTCTCTCCTCCCTTCCTCTCTGAAATCAATAAAGAAATATATTTTTTTTAAAAAAAGAATAACTAGGATCCATCCTAAGCCCTCAGTTAAGTGAGGGAGATGGAAACCAGGCCTTTATCAATACCTAGAGGCCTGGTGCACAAAATTCATACACTGAGGGGGTGGGGGTCCCTGCCTGTGCCCTCTGGCAGTCCGGGACCCCTCAGGGGATATCTGCCTGTTGGCTTTGGAAGAATAGCCCCCTTTCACCCTGCACTCCTCCTCCCTCTTCTAAAGCTTCTTAAACTTTGCCCAATATATCAACCAGTCTTCCAAAGAGTGAACCCTGCAGGCTCTTAATAATAATGGCTTTTGTAATTCAAAAGATTTGGTTTTGTAAAACTGACTCATTCCAACTGCCCCCTGGTGAGCTATCTGGGAAAGATAGCACGATTTTCTGCGCTGCTGGGATATGATTCTGAATAAGAAACTGCCACGACCAAATGAAAACGTAATTTTTCTAAGTCTCAAGTTGCGATTTGAATGGCCTGGATCAATTCGCCCATCTGGTTTTATTATCATAATCAAGCCCTATAAGTGTTATTTTTTAAAGTGTGCACATACACCCGCACATATGTAATACAGACATGTGTCTACAGGTTTGCCCTGTTTGAAGGAGGGCTGCACAGGCCTCAGACGTGCTTTCCGCGGGGAAAGAGCGCATTGGACATACTTCCTCCTGGGAGGGTGCGGGCAGGCAGTACCTTTCTCCACGGGAAAGTCCTCACAGCTCTGCATGGACTTCCAAGGCTATGCCACTTTGTCCCGGGAAACTAGCGAGGAAAAGGCAGGGCTTTGTCCTCCCCGGGGCCAGCAGCCGTCCCGGTCCTGCGCCGGGGATGAATAATGAATGGAGCCGAGAAGGGAAGCCCCGCGCTGAGGAACAAGCCGTCTTGCTCCCAGCCCGCCGCCCCTTCCCCCTCCCTGCGCCCTAGCAGGGCGACTTTGCCGGCTCCTCGGAGCAGGTGGGAGCTGGGGACGCCTCGGGTCCCCGGGCCCGCCAACCCACGACCCCCAAAATTTTGATGTACTTATTGATTCATTTCTTTCCCTGCGCCCAGATTGCTTTTGCTATCATGGCGACAACAATGCCCACAGTCTCCTTTCTCTCCCCCGGCTCCGGGGTGTTCTGGAAGAAAAGTAGGAGGCAGGGGGCTAAGTCAGAGAATTAGGCTAAACTTGTTAACCACTGGTTCTCCCGGCGGGAAGCCTCCTGCTTCTCTGTACTGGGAAGCTTTCTTTTCGTGCCATGGAATTGCCTGCGCCCGGAACGCGCTCTAACCAGGGGGTTACAAAATCTTCACTGGACTTTAAGGGGAGACGTATTGGGACGGGGAGGATCTGGAGAGCAATGGGGGCTTTAGGTGCCGATGGTATGTTTCATAGGAGCAGAAAAAAATCGTATTTTTACACAGGTAAGAGCACTTGCTCGCTCGGCACCTAGCGCTCCATGTAGTTGCTTTCCATTGGGGGCCGCGGGGGAAGTGGGAAAATAGAGAATCCAGTTTCAGAGATTCCACCTCAACCCGGCACCCACCCACCCACCCAAATGCACTTCGGGCAGAGAGCGAGGCGGGAGACCGGCTGGTGATCCGAAAGCAA